GCTCAGGCTGGTTTCGAACTCCTGAGCTCAAACAATCCTCCCGCCTCTGCCTCCCAGAGTGCTAGGATTACAGGCGTGAGCCACCGCGCCCGGCCTTGTTGAAATTCTTAAACACAAAAGGCCAAGAATAAACTAGGTTTCTTTTCCAGCTCATTCCCTGCATTTGCATGGAAAGAACCCAGTATGTTTTATTGTTATTGGTTTTGTTTGTTTTTGTCTGGTGCCTAAGTTTCCTGGTGGAATCCTTTGACTTCTTTGCATAATTTTCTCAATTTTCTTTGAAGGCTTCGGAATCTACTTTCTGTCTTAGTCACTTTAAGGTTCTGTATCCTTAGGCAAGTTATTTAACCTCTCTCAGACTCACTTGTGTCAAGGTGTCAAGTGTAAAGTGAATGAAAGCTCCTGGGGTTTGTACGAAGTCTAAGTGAGTTAATTTGAGTAAAGGGTATGGAACCGAGAAGCTGCTCATCAGTCATGAGCTCCCCAACCTCCTCTCATTGTTTTCCTTCCATGTGTAGTAGGAAACCATGGCCATGGTAGATGTCCTCACTGCTCTACAGCTGTTTTAAGAAATAAAACTTTATTGATACAACTAAAGTTTATGCTTTCCATTATTTTTTCCCTTTTCCATCCCTGGATATAACTTTATCGTAGTCCATTTTTTTGTTGCTATAAAGGAATACCTGAGGCTGGGTAACCTATGAAGAAAAGAGGTTTATTTGGCTCACAGTTCTGCAGGCGGTACAGAAAGCACGGTGCCAGCCAGCATCTGCGTCTGGTAAGGGCTTCAGGCTACTTCCACTCCTGGCGGAAGGTGCAGGGGACTGGCATGTGTAGAGATCATGTGGCAAGAGAGGAGGGGGCAGAGAGAGGAGGAAATGCTAGGGTCTTTCAACAACCAGTTCTGACCAGCAGGAGAAGTAAGAGCGAGAACTCATTCCTGTAAAAATGGCACCAAGCCACACATAAGGGATCCTCCCCTCGCCCCAGCAGGCCCCACACCCAACATTGGGAATTAAATTTCAACACAAGACTTGACAAGGCCAAACAAACCATATCTAAACCATAGCAAACCTATTTAAATTTGTGCAATTTTATATATTTCATATAAGATATGTAAATTTTATATATTTTATATATTACATAGAACATGGTTTTATATTTTTACTATAGGCAGGTTTCTGTGCACAATACAGAGTATTATTTGGCAAAACTTAAAAATTATGTGTCGTACGATGCTAGATACAACTTGATCTTTCTTCCGTTAAAGCATTTTAGATTAGTTTATGTAGATGCATGTACCTCATTAATTTTTTGCCACATAAGATTAAATTTATGAATAAACCTGTTTATTTTTGCCTTCCTCTAATCATGCGCAGTTAGATTATTTACAATTTTTTTTTTTTTTGCTGTTTTGAATATTGTGTAATGAACACACTTGCACAGGTCCCCTTGTGTGCATTTGAAAGGGCTCCTCTAGGCTATTTACCTAGACGTGGAATTCAATTAGAAATTACCAACTTACTCCCTGAAGTGGTTGTATAAGTTATTTTTTTTCTTTCCTCTAAGTCTTATACTTAGTGGGAGAGGTTATGTAAATTGATACCATCACTATGTGAGATTTTTCATTTCCTCACATAGTCCCTAACTCATGGCATTATCTATGATTTAAAAAAGTAAAAAGCTTCAAGACACCCCTACTTCTGTGACCACCAAGCAAAATGATATTGTTAAACGTAAGGGCTGAAAGAAAGTCATAGACTTTAATTGTTAAGTATTAAGGAAAAGACCACTCCTTTCTCCAAGAACATGCCCCTGGTTAGAAAAGCAGCACCAGTTCTCTCATTGGTGGACCAATGGCTAGGCAATTGCTGGCCAATTGCTGGCCTTCATTACCCACTGATGACATAATTTCTCTATGTAGCAGTAAGAAATATTTTATGTGGACATATATATAGTCAGTGCTTCCCCAAGGATGTAGTTCATAACAATAGACCAGAGAAATTTCCTATGAGAAACAAATTCTGTCTGGGAAATGATACCTGCTATGTCCTTCTGCTGAAATTTAACGAAGCCTCTGATCAGTCCTGTAATGATAAAACCTGCCTAATTTTATTTAATCCAGCTTTTCCAAAACTTTTTAAATTTAATCTGGCAAATAGGAACACACTGAGGAATACTATTCTAACCCCCTCAGGTTGGTATTGGCACAGCACTGAATCTTAAAAACCTGGGCTTAAATCCATATTTTGCCACTTGTTTGCTCTGTAATCTGAAGCAAGTTATTGACCATTCGTGAACTTCAGTGGCCTCATCCACAAAGTGATTTGTCAAATGAACATGAAGTCTTCTTTACCAGTTATGGGAACTAAGAGTCTACACAAAGCTCCTAGAATAAGCTGCCACAGAGCAGGCGTTCAGTACGTGCAGGGTTATCTCTATATGTTCAGCTTCCTAAAATGGCATCATTCATTTTACTCTTCATTGTGCAAAGTGGTCGTTTCATTCTCTAAAACTATCCCTTCATGCATGTATAGGCTGCCGTAAGTATGCCAGGATTTATAATATCATAATGGGTCTTTATTGTATAGACCTCAAGTCATAGAAGCCTTAATCTTTCCAACCTGTCCTAACAGGACAGACCCCAGGCTTTCTTGATTATAATTTAGCTTCTGAAGTTTTCTGCCTTTTTACCTTTTTATAGTGTATGTGTGTATGTTATATATGGTATATAGTTGATCTGTGGCAATGAGGAATACATGCAATGTTTGATAATTACTCATACCATATTTTTTCAGGACTGCTAAAACCATCAAACTAAAAGATTCCTGCTCTAATCTTTTCCATTCCCATGATGTTAGAGAAGAAACTGAAGTTCAAACAAGTTAAATGAGAACATTTATATAAGGAAATGATAATGTGTCATAAGAGTCCAGCCTGCCCTATACCTTATTGCATGGGCCTTTGACTCACAGTCTTGATTCAAATATTAGCCCTTCACATGTGACTCTAGACGGGTTACTTAAACTCCCATAGCCTCAGTTTTATTATCTGTAAAATGGGGAAAATCATACTATCAACTCCATTTTGGGCTGGGAGCAACTGATAAGGCGATGCAGCACCAGGCATGTCAAGAATGCTCAACAGGGAAAGAGGGAGAGAGAGAGAGCCAAGGAAAGCGGCGGAAGCCAGGGGAGCGGGCAGTCTTGGCAGGGAAGCCATCCCCCCTGCTGCGGGGGAACCTCGCTCGCAGCCCGGCCGGGTCCGAGAGTGGTCCGGCGCCCAGGCCGTACGGGGGGCTGTTCGGGTGGAGGTGGGGGAGCAGCCGGGCCAGGAAAACAGGAGCCGCTTGGGGGCTGGAGCTGCAGGAGCAGGCAGCCTCTTCCCAAGATGGTCAGAGGGTCCCCTCGGCGCCCCCGCTCCCACTTGCTGCTAGACCGCCTGCCAGCACCGCGACCCGGAGCTTCTGCCGGAGCCATGGCTCTAAAAGGACAAGATTATATTTATATTTTCAAGGATTCGACACATCCAGTGGATTTTCTGGATGCATTCAGCACATTTTACTTGGATAGATTATTTACTGATACTACCCTTCAGTGTCCTTCAAGCGTAATCTTCCATTGTCACCGAGCTGTTTTTAGCTGCTTGCAGCAATTATTTTAAGGCAATGTTCACAGCTGACATGAAAGAAAAACTTAAAGATAAAATAAAACTCTCTGGCATCCACCATGATATTCCGGAAGGCCTTGTAAATTATGCATACATCTCCCAAATTGAAATAACTAAAAGAAATGTTCAAAGCCTGTTTCAGGCAGCAGATCTGCTACAGTTCCTTTCAGTAAAGAAGGCTCGTGAGCAGTTTTTGGTGTGGGAAATGCTACTGCCTGTGTCTTACATGAAATTATCTATGTCATTGGTGGCCACTGCGGCTACGGAGGAAGCTGCACCTATGAGAAGGTCCAGAGCTCCGATTCAGATATCAACGAATGGAGCATCATCATCACCTCCAGTCCACATCCAGAATATGGACTGTGCTCAGTTCCATTTGAAAATAAGCTCTATGTAGTCGGTGGGCAAACTACAATCACAGACTGCCTGACCCTGAACAAAATGAGTGGAGAGGGAGAGCTCTCATAATGGAAAGGAGGATGGAGTGTGGTGCTGTCATCATGAATGGGTGCATTTATGTCACTGGAGGATACTCCTGCTCCAAGGGAACAAGTCTTCAGAGCATTGAGAAATATGATCCAGATCTTAATAAGTGGGAAATAGTGGGCAGTCTCCCAAGTGCCATGAGGTCTCATGGGTGTGTTTGTGTGTATAATGTCTGATTGAATCTGCAGAAATGACCAGGTAATCACCGTTTCGGAGTATAGCGAGAAAAAAAAATGGAATGTAGGGTTTGGAGTTCCTTACTTGTTATTGTGATCTGACACATGACAGGGAGTCAGTAGATTTTAATTCCTAACCCCACTCTACTGCCAAACCCAGTGATTAAATAGGCAAGAAAAATCTTATGTATAATACAATTGAATAAGTGGGGTTAACCCCTGTAATCTCTGCTTTTCAAAGGTGATATGGAATATTCGACACTTAGTAAAATGTGAAATACTTTTGCAGTGAATCTTTTCCTCCTGGTAGCATCAACACTGGGGACAGGTCAGAATCATACTGTGGAATGAAATGTCTCTTAAGTGCCATTAACTAGCAGGAATTTGAAATTTACAGAGAGAATCTTCTCTACCTCTACAAAATCAACACTTAAAATTTTCTTTTCACCTTTAGAATTATTTAGAATGTAGACTTACTTTAAGTCTAGGTTTTTTCCTTTGTAGTATAGATAATTTATTGCTGTTATTCTTTATTTACTGACTACCATATATATATAAAATACTGTGCAAAGGATTATTACTGTTCAAAGAGTTTACAAACTAAATTTAAAAGAATGGCAAGGATGAAAAATTGCAGAGAAGATAGTCGAATATTTGCTTATGCTAAGGGCTATTTTTAATTTTCAGCTTTGATGTAAATTGCTGGCTGAGGTGTCCTTAAGCGTGTTAGGAAATGCTCTTTATTCTTACATGTAAATACATGTCTGCATATAAAGTTGAATTTCAGAAAGCATGTAGAACAGTTGTGATATAGTAGAAAATACCTTGACAAGAAGATAATTTGCATTCATATCCCAGCTCTGTCACTAACTAGAATTTGTTACTTGAGTTTAGTCCTGTAACCTGTCTTTGATTAGAGCTTCCTCACCTGTGCACATTGGCACTGCGGGTCATAGATGTGCCTAGACGTGGATCTGCTCCCCCCTTGATGCAGCTAGAGGTGATCGGGGGTCACCTTTGTCCATTTTCTCGAACGTGCCTACGGGATCACTTTCCATGTGTGCCATCACTTGGGAAAAGTTGGGAAGCGCTGCCTGACTTAACTCCTCTAAACCTTTAGTTATCTGTGACACCATCTAGTCTACACTCTTCTTTTTTTTTTTTAAAGAGACAGTGATTATTTTTAACTTTAAATACTGATGTTTAAAACTACCTAACACTTCTGGTTTCAAAAAAACTTTTAGGAGTTTTTTTTTTTTTTTTTTTTGAGAAAGAGTCTTGCTCTATCATCCCAGCTAGAGTACAGTGGCATCATCAAAGCTTACTGCAACCTCCGACTGCTGGGCTCAGGCGATCTTCCTGCCTCAGCCTCCTGAGTAGCTGGGACTACAGGCATACACCACCATGCTCAGCTAATTTTTCTATTTTTTGTAGAGATAGGGTCTTGCTCTTTCTTGCTCAGGCTGTCTCGAACTCCTGAGCTCAAGTGATCCTCCTTCCTTGGCCTCCCAGTGTGCCAGGATTACAGGCGTGAGCCACTGTGCCTGGCCAGGAGATTGTTTAATGCATTTATTTCAGATGTCATTTTAAATAGATATGACCCTTTGGGAATGCAATATAATACAACATAGCAAGGGACATAAAAATGATCATATCTTTTGCCCCATAAATTCTATTCCTATATTTTTAACCTTTTTAAAAAAATTAAAAAAAAGATAAATGCATGAGGGTATTTAGGTCTACTTTATTTAAATAGCAAAAAATTGTTTCAAAAATGCATGTCAAAGATGAAAGTGGGCTAATAAAAATAGTGAAGGCTTATGAATGCATGTGGAAGGTAATATGCAAAACAAATTCAGTGTGTTAGTGTAGGGAGCTGTGGAATGATTTTTTTATTTAAATGTTTTTCTTTAGTATTACTTTGAGTTTTCGATAAAAATAAATAAATCACACACAAAAAAAAGAATGCTCAACAGATATTTTTCAGTCTGCTGGAGATGTTTAAGTTGGAGTCACCGCCCTCTGCTGCAGAAGTCTATTGAATTACTATTGCTTCCAGGTCCTTATTGAGTTCAAGTTCAAAATTTACAATGGTAACTGAAAGAACAGGTCTGGTGAGGGTCTTGTATAGAATCGATATTCCATTTAAGCTAGAAGTGTGTTATAATGATTATCATAAAATTAATCCTCTTCTCAATAAGGTTACTCTCAGGGAAAATAAAAAGAGGAGAAGTGCAGCTCTAAATGAAAAGATTGATCATCAGAGCGCTGTATTACCATGTGTAAAACAGCTAATATTTATTGAGCAGCTGCTGTGTGCCAGGAACTGTGCTATAGAAACTTTGTTAGATTAGAATTATTGCTCCCAATGGTTTTGTAGAAATTAAAATATAAAAGATCCTCTTAGCACAAGACATTGGAACAGGGTGGGAGGGAAGACTTGGTAGTCCCAGCACTACCACATCTTAGTATGTATGGAGCATTTATTATTTGACACCCGTTATAATTAACACCTCCATATTTTGTTAGATTTAATACATACCACAACCTGAGTAATTACAGATGAGGAAACTGAGGGCTAAACAAGTTGAGCAATTGTCCAAAGCCATGCTAATAGTAAATGTTGGAGCCAACATTTAAAACCAGTTCCCTCTGACACCCCGCCTTATGAGCCAGCTGCCTCCTAAGAGTCCTTGAAGTCTTGGTGCTTTGTTCATAGTCCTGCATTGAGGACTCAGTCTTACAAATGCAGAAAGTGGATTCTACTTACCTAATCCATTAAAGATGGACTTTCCCCCTACATTTAACCTCTCCCAAATCAGTATATGATTCAATGCCTTTTTTTCCATACTACTGGTATAAAAAAAATAGCAGTGCCTCTAGCATATTAGATTTAAAGAAATTTAATGCTCATATTTAATCCTTTGAGAAGTATATATTATTATCTCTGATGTGAAATGTGGAAACTCAGGCATAAAGATAAGTTATATTCAAAAACAATCACTAAGTATTTATTATGTTTCTGTAGTAGCTGTTTATAATTTAAAATATGGACTTGCAGACATGTCTCAAACTTGAGTAATGTAATGTCTTTGGGGGGCAGTGGAAGGCAAATATCCCCAAGTTCAATAACAGAAGGACTAAGTTACGTTGCAATGTAGTGCTGCCCAATTTAAGCACTCGAGCATACTAGTCCTGCAGTTAAAATTTCAGCATTCAATTCATAAGAATAAGGACATACTTCTCCATTACCGAATACTACTCTCAATCCTATGAAAATTTTTAAATTCCATAATATTTAATTTCCAATTTTTTCTTCAAATTTCCCTAATAGTCCCTGTGAAATCTTTTATAATTTGTTTTAAAATCAGAATCTGGTCAAATTTCATACATCGTAATTTGGTCATTATGTCTTTATACCCCAGTGTTCTCAAAATGTAATCCCTGGGCATCAGCATCACCTGGGAACTTGTCAGAAATGCTAATTCTTGGGTCTCACCCCCATCTACTGAATCAGAGGCTCTGGGGATGCAGCCAAACCTCTGCGGTTTAATAAGCTGAAGTGATTCCAAGGGTGAAGTTTGAGAACCTCTGCTGTAGCACAATCTTGACTCTCAGTCTTGGCTGTATAATATTGTAGAATTACCTAGGGTTGTTTTAAAAAGACCCAACATCAAGTGTACACCAGGCCAGTTAGATTAGAATCTCTGGGCATGAAACTCCGGTATCAGTATTGCTAAAGCTCCCCAGGTGGTTCCACCGCACGGCCAAGACAGAAGACCCTTGCTTCAGTTTCTATTAACTTTGAACTGTCCTCCTGCCCTTTTATTTAATCATATTGATTTTTATCTTGCTGATTATCTTACAGAAAGATCCATAATGTGTATCTGTTTGATCGTACGCCACTTCTTGCACCTTATTGGGCCTCCCATTTCACAGAAATGAAAGGGATAAATCATGAGTCTCTTCTATTGCTGTCCCAAAATAGCCTTGAGCTTGAACATGCCTTGCAAGTAAAATAGATCATATTATAACCGGCTTTTGGGCTTGTATTTTTTTTTCCAACCAATTGCATCTCCTCTCTGCCACCTATTTGTTCTGTCTTGCTAGGCCAGGTTACTGCCACTGTGGCTTTCCATTCTGTTTTCCATTTCCAAATTGACATTTTGTGGAGCATCTCTTGAGAATTTTGCCCTTCTCTCTCTGGGTTTTATCAACTATCTCCTGATAGCGTATACTTGTCTGTTTCACTTACCTCATTCTTCTATTTCAAGCTGTGGTGTATTAGAGGATTTGTTTTCAATATCTCATCTGGCCATCCTGTATGTAGAGTGGAGTCTTTGTTCTCTTAGGTGTTTTTTTTTGTTTGTTTGTTTCTAGGCAATCAGTAGAGATTTGCTAAGATGCCAGCTCTCAAAACTGTTTCTGTAGCATCTGTCCCGATGCTTAACACTGTTTCTTTTTGTTCAGATTTGCAGGACGTGGCCTGTTTAGAGTTAATATGTTTCTGCATTCTCACAGAAATCTCCAGGTCTCAGCAGTTGACCCACTTTTTTTCAACCTGAGAGGCAGCAGCTCTGTGATTATTACACAATGTATGTCACTCACATATGAAAGTGAATCACGACATCCTTCTACCAGTTTTCATCTACTACAATAAGCAATAAAGGTAGTTGAATGTAGTGAAAAGGGAAATTAGAGCTCTTCATGCCTCATGTGCAGACACAATGAGTAAGCCAAACAGCGAGATATTATTCTTTCATAGTAGTAATAAATAATTTGAAAGGATAATTTTCACATATTAAGTAAAAATCAAGACTCTTATAAAGATATAAAATAAACATGTGCTAAAGACTTAACTCATTATTAATGAGGGAATCAGATATTATTAATATAACAGGTTCACAGGAGAAGCCTAAGAAGCACAAATTTATATGGCATATGGGAAGGTTGAAATGGATGCCAAACTGTGTCCCCCCACGGGAAAAAGGGTGAAGTCACGTGAATGTGTGACCAGCCTGGAGCACATGGCCTCAAGA